GGTGCGGGGGGGGGGGGGTACTGGCGGAGGTGGGGGCTGTGGGTCAGGATCCGGGGGTACTAGGAGTGCTGGTCTGTTCCCCTGCAGCCCAGCTCTCCCAGGGGCAGGTCTATCGGATCCAGGTGGCGCCCCATGTCACGGTGCAGCAGGGCCTCTGCGTGCTGCTCCCCTGCCATTTCACAGCCGATTTCGAGTCCCCCGGGCCTCTCTACAAATACTGGTTCCTTGAAGGCGCCGACAAAGATCACGGTGTGCCTGTGGCCAGCACCAACCCGGACAGGCCCCTGAAGGAGCCCAGGGGTCGGATCCGCCTGGCTGGGGAGGCCGAGGACGACTGCTCCCTGATCATCAGCGACGTGCGGGCTGAAGACCGGGACCGCTACTACTTCCGCTTTGAGAAGGGAGAGAGCAAATACAGCTACGTGGAGATCCAGCCGCTGGTGAACGTCACAGGTGCATCAGGGGGCCCAGTAATACTGAGCTCTACTATGCCCAGTGCAAGGGAGTTCCATGGGTCAGTCTCAATAATATCCTCAGATGGGGAGTTCCGAAGGTTACCTCCAATAATACCCAGTGGCAGGGAGTTCCATGGGTTAGCATCAAATATACCCAGTGGAGGACATTTCCACGAGTCAGCCAGAATAATACCCTGTGCCCGGATGTGCCGGGGATTCACCGCAGTAATTCTCACAGGGCTGATTCTTAATGGTTTTCTCTTTCCTAGAACTGAGGGACCAGCCAGTCCTGAGGGTCCCTGAGGTGCTGAAGCCCGGGCAGCCAGTGAATGTGACCTGCCAGGCTCCAGGCACCTGCTCTGGGACCCCTCCCCAAATCACCTGGACAGGAGGGTTCGACTCCACGGCCATGGACGTCTCAGAGCCCCAGGGGAACGGCAGCGTCTCCTACAGCTCCGTGCTCCGCTTCACGCCCACCCTGGCGCACAATGGCACAGAACTCGGCTGCACCGTCACGTACCCTGCGGTCGGGGTGTCCACCCGCCGAGCCCTCCGGCTCCATGTCTGCTGTGAGTTGCCCCATGCAGCTCTGAAAGGAGAGTGTGGGGTAGTGGTTACAGGGGACAGGCAGGACTCTTGCTTTCTATGCCTGGGAATGTGAGGGAAGTGGGGGCTAGTGATTGGGGAGGATGTGGAGCTGAGATCCAGGAAGTCAGTGGGTCCCAGGATACAAATTCCCCACACGCCCTGTGTCCCGTTGCAGATGCGCCGGAGCTGCTGCCGGGGGGGAACTGCACGGTGTGGGGCAGCAGGCCCGGGGGGGCGGCCACATGTTACTGCGCGGCCGAGGGGAACCCCCCGCCCCGCCTCCAGTGGCGCCTGCCCAACCGCACCCTCCCCGGGGACTTCAAGGGCCCTGAGCTGGCAGCCACCTCCTGGGAGCGAGGCCCAGCCGTGAGCGGCGAGCTGCACGGCCCGGC